GTCATATTCAATAAAAATCAATTAAACAGGCTCAGATGATGGGTCAATATTCGGAAGAGGCAAAGTTGGGTGATCATCGAAGTATGGAAGAATACTGATTTTAAGTAGTGGCCCAGTATATGTAAGAAAGAAATATTGATGCTAAAAAAAGCAATATGACGAGATATATGAATTTTATTAGAGAAAGGATCATAACACATAAAACCTTTGTATGAAACACTATAACCAATGAATGCACATTTAATGGATTGTGCAGAAAGCTTATGACATTTATGTAAAGGTAAATGAACAAGACAAACACATCAAACAATATTCAAATCAAGGCAGCTATGATACTCATTAAAAAGACAATAATATGGGAATTCAAGATTAAGGACTTATGAAGGCAATCGATTAATTAAATGAACTACAATTGATAAAGCTTTCACCCAAAATTTAGAAGGAACAGAAGACTCAGTTAACAAGGTACGAACCATGTCTAAAGATAATGATTTTTCCACTCTGCCACTTCACTTTGCTAGGAAGTATAAGGACAAGAGCATTGAGAAATAATACATATCTCCTGCAATAAGGCATGAAGTTCATTGACATATATCCACCACTTGAATCTGATCTTAAGATTTTAATACCCATAGGAAATTGTGTTTCAACATAAGGTATAAAGGATTTGAAGATAGAAAAGACCTCTGATTTATAGCATAAGAAATAGACCCAAGTATGTTGACTATAATAATCAATAAATGTCATAAAATACTTGTATTGAGTAAGTGAAATAATAAGTGCAATGCCCCGCAGATCACTATGAATAATATCGAAGCATTGTTTTGCACGACTATCATGAGATGAAAAAAAAAGAGTTTTACTCTTACCTAATTTACATATAGAGCATTCAATAAAAAGATGATGTGACATCTGGATACCTGGTGGAGTAACAATGTCCAATAATAAAACAAATATGAGTACATAAAAAAATTATACAGTGGAAGTAAAATTCATTCGTTTCAAAATTTTTTGATGTTTTTACACATATGAGGCCTAGAAGTTAGTTAATAAAATATATATAGACATTGTTCCAGCAATTTCTTTCATTACAAAAATAATTGTTCATTAGAGTATAGTCATCCACATGCACTCAAATGTCCACTACAAGTCTGTGAACAAATCCAAACAAGTTTCAAGGGTAGCTCGAGGAGTGATTTTTCACTTTCCTCATCATTTGGGGGAAATGGATTGGAGTAAGTTCCATAAAACTTAATAAGGAAAAAAGTATTTAAACTACATTGCTAAAATTTCAAAAGTTGTTTATTCAATAAACGTGTCGTATATTTACAACTAGTAAAACGTACTGTTAGAGACCGTTGTATATTAGGTTCATTTAAAAACACCATCCAAAATGTCATATTTTTAATTAATTGAAAAACCTTTTAAAATACTAATATTAGAACATAAGCAATAAAATGGAATAATGATAAGCATAGTTGGAACCAGTAGAACCATCTAAAACATAGCATGATGAGACAGGACAGTGAGAAACATAATGATGTGACAACAGTTGAAGACCTACCTAAACTGGTGGAAGGAAGGAAGAGGACTAACATTAATGATCTCCCTGGAAACGAAATGAAGTATTTACAAAACAAGAGTACCTAAGCCAACTCTATTCCTGACCAAAGAAATCATTGGAAAGAAGACCCGACCTAGGAAGAAGTGACACTAGAAAATACTGGAAACCCAGAGGGTAATAGGGCCTCACTGCCAAAGAACAACTCAGCCTAAAAATTCCAACCCAAGATGATGGCCCAGATGCTGTATAGGCATGGGTACCCGTGGGGTACACATATGTAGCAATGCACATTCAGGATACAGGTTCACCATATCTGGGCGAATTTTAACCAATTAAAAAAATCAATTATTTTATAGTTAATCTTTGATTTCTAGTTATTATATGATTCTCAAACTATTCTTTGAAATCAAATCGAGCTAAAAACATGTTAGAATAGCTAAAAAAATTCGAGGGAATATAAAGAGGTTCGGTCGCACACCAAAGGAGTCGGATCACTCTAAAACCCTGTGTGTTTCAGCGAGTTGTGGTTTTTTTGGTCTTGGGGTGGTCGGACACGTTTTCTAGTGCTTTGGCTTAATTTCCCTCAAAATATATCACTCTTTCTCTCTCTCTCTCTCTCTCTCGAATTTTGCTCTGGAAGTGGAGGAGTTTATTAATCGAGTTCCTTTTCAACCCGTCAAAAGGAAGAAAAAGAATGTTGGAATTTTTTGAAAGGGTGAAGGGGCATACCGCATCTGGGCCGTCCACGAGCATGCAACGCGTCTTAGGATTTTATGTGGGTTTTGAAATCTGGCTATTAGATCGAAGGTACACGAGTTCTTGGTCGTTCAATCCCCCATCACTTAGCTTTTTGTCCGCATGCCTCTCAGTCATCCAATCGCTGACACACGTGATTTAGGTCATTGAGCGTGCGTCTCAGAAGCCTGTCACATGATCTTGGGTAGTTGGATCACTAAGATGCATGATCTGGGCCGTTGAAAGTATGCCCCTCATGCATGTGCGATCAGATTCGGACCATTGAAAGGGCAGCTCGTGCGGATATCGCTCGACTATAACCATCCGTTTCCCCCTGTCTCACTACTACCTACTTGCATGGCATCCAAGTGGCACGCAATGAGTGGTCGGCGCAGACACGTCGTAACAACATGTTTTGGCTTTCCTAAATTATGTTTGAACCCCCAAACACGCAATTTATTTTTAATTTCATCCCTATTTTAATTTTTTTTATCAAAACAACCCTAATTTCCTTATTTCTTTGACTTTTTAACCTCTAAATTTTTAAAGTTTATATTTTTGGGAGGAAAATCTTAATTATTTAATTTTCTTAAGGTTAGAATAATTTTTTTCTAATTGTATATTAATTAAATTGACTAAGAAAATTTAAATTAAACTAATTGCATTAAATTTAAATTAATTACAAAGCATTACAGAGCCCACGTTGATAGTGGAGATCTTTATTGCTCCCTGGATAGAAATTAAAATGACTTCTTAGATGAAATTTCAAAAGTTAAAATATCATAAATGTAATCGAAATAATAAGATGAAACAATAATTTATGAATTGTAATACAATGTAGCACATCATATTGTATTGAAAACCTGATTGTATTGTATTGTATCATATTGTACCATAAACCTGATTGTCTTGAATTTGTAATTATATTGCATTGTATCATATCATATTGTAAATCTCATCGTATAAAGAATTATGAATGTGATAACTAATTGCACTCTATTATACCATACTTCATGGTAAATGATTATAATATAAATATACAGTTATATATATATATATATATATAAGTAAAAATAGTGTATGGAATGGTATTGTTAGATCTATAGGAAGTAGTGTGTTATATAAAAAACAAGCCGGAGAGAGAAGCTTAGTGATCTTCAAAGTATGTATGAGATACCAGTTATTAAGTGTGTAAGGATTAAACAAATTAAGAATTAGATAATAAATAATAGTATCAAATAAATGAGATGAAATTATTCTCCACTCGAATAAACCCTCTAAGGATATAAATATGAAAATGATATTGTAAAGAGAGTAAAAAAAGGAGAGTAAAAAAAGGATTCATATATACTCAGCTAAATCTGTAGATTCAAATGTTAATTATTCTTGCTGACATATATAGTTCATTCAAATTCTTCTTTTTCATAACAAGAGAGCTAGAAGTCGAAACAAGAAGATCTCGAATAATAAAAGATCAGGATTGAAGTATGAGGCTTTTATGGACATCCATATCTACTGACTTAGTATTTCATACTTTGAATTTCTATCTGGAATAGGATTAAATATCTTCAAGTTTTATTTGTCCATAAGAGATGTTGGTGTTTTAGCGGGATAAAATTTTGTTATGTTTATCCAAATGAATTAAATACTATAATGACTAATATAGATGGACACTCATGACTCCCCTTCATGAATTGGAGTTATTACATTTTAATTAAAATAAATATAAATTTATAGATAAATTCTAAATAATTTTTTTAACCAGGGAGTCTCGAACATTTTGGACTAATGCTCTTGTTTGATAAGAAAAAAATATAATGTTGATTAAGTTCTTAAAAAATGGTTTAAAAAGATAAATCATCTTGAAAAGGTGAATTAGTACACCCATTGGGAAATCTAGTCAGCAACTGATTATTTTTAAATAAAAAGTTACATAGTTTAAGTTAAAACATTCATTAATTTAATAACATTCTTTCAAAAAATTTTAAACACCTTCCTAATTTACTCAAATTATTATACAACTTGTTTACCAATTAAAAGAAAATTAATTTCCCGTAGAAAAACAATGACGATTTTATATATATATATAAAAAGAAATGTTTATGTTACCTCAGCTACTTTAGAAATATTAACATCTAACAATTTCTTTTTGGTTATCTTTTGATTATATTTCGTTACGCTTTACCTACCAGTTATTGTTTTTTTAGCTGTCAAGTATATCACTCTATCAATATAATATACTCGAATATAACTAAATCTAGTAAAGACCGGTACCTCTTAAGGTAGGAAGAATTACCTGGGTTTGCCCTTCTATATATTAAAACGATCAAGGGCTGATTTCGAAATGGGCTTGGTTATATATTAAAGCCCATACAACTGGACTGGACTTAACACTTAGGAAGAGCTCAACGGCAGAGTCCGGAGTCCACAAACAGGTCTGGCAGCGATCAATAACCTGCCTGAAACTCTAGTGCTCTCTGTGGAGGAACATAACCTGACAGCTTATAAGCTCTAGCCTCCATAATGTAATGAACCAAAACGACGAAAACACTTATAGCTCACCAGTTCACGATTACCTTGCAGAATTTCACATAAAATTTTCCAATTTTGGGCCCCTTTTCTGAGAATTGCCCTTCTTACATCGTGTAATAGCTATTGGAATTGAAAAAATTAGTGTAAATTCACTCTTAATTTAGTTACGTTTTTTCACGTTGTAGCATTCCGTTTATAATTACTCAAAATTATAAGGTGCATCCAAGCACAGGCGAGTTGAAAGACACTGATCCTAATTGGTTCATAATCATAATTAAGGAATCTTCCAACTCATCTGTGCTTTTGGAATAGATGAGTTTCCAAAATCCACTTCTCTTACCCGAGCGTGAATTTAATTAGCCGATTTGGTAAATTGCAAAGGGGTAAATTCGGCTTGGCTGCCCTCGTTGCGCTTTGTCCAACCCTTCTCAACAAGGCCATTTTCCCCCAGCATAACAGAAAAAGGGCCATTCCCCAGCAGTTAATATTTCTAAAGCTCCCAGAGCCCAACTAAAAACCAAGCTAATTTAGACTTCAGCTTGTGCAAACTCGGTGCAAAAACTGGTCACTACCACTTTACCCAGTAAACCTTTCAAGCTCACCCAGCATAGCATGAGGTGCTGATTCCCACTTTTCTGTGATCCCTGGTTTAGTCTTTTTAACCAATCATTAATTTTAAACACAAGGATTTTGTGTAATAATTTGTTTATGGTTTGATGGAAAAATCTTGCTCATTTGCCCTCCGATAAAGCAGTGCTGATGCTTCCACCCTGTATTTGTTTAGAAAGAAAACAAAAATGGAAGCCATGTCAAACGAGAACAGCAATGAGCACCAAAAGAAAAGTATGAAGTAAAATAGAGACAATCTCACCAGCCAGGATTAACAACAAATCTTCCTGTGGATAGAGCCCAATTCACCTGTTTGAAAAATAATATAATATAAGTTTAACCTTCCACACGAATTCTTAACTGATTTCTACAAATGTATTTGCTAAAGCATTAAACACTGGATATTACATGCACGTGGACAACTAAGGATCGTATTTGCACTTGTTATATTTACTTAACACCTATTTATGGTTAATTCTTAGGCACAATGTTACTTATGGTTAGTTTTTAGGCACATTGTCATCTCTATCATATACCCTCATTTCCACAAACTTCTATTTTCAGGTGAGCATCGAACACTCGTGTGCCTTCAAAATCTCAAAAAAAAAAATAGTTAAATTAAATGATCATTAAACAATGTTTATCTGCAAAGCAAGGGAAAAAAACCAACCATACCTTATCAGTCCCCAGTGAATTGGCTACTACATGAGTAACATGCTCGTCTATTTGGTTCGTACACACGGCACCAAATTGTTCAGCTGTCTGCCATAATGGATGCAGGTGAGGATTGGCTTCGCCAACTGGGAAGACCCTGCTAAATACTATTCTACAACCAGACAAAATTTTTCGTTGCTCTGCAGCTAGGATGTTTCTAACATCCACATCATCCAAAGAAGGATGGGAGAAAAAAATTTGATGTATTCTCTCAATAACCTATTAAAGTAAATAAAACTGGTGAGTGAAGGGAA